GGCGGGCAGGCGTGGCTCTGCTCTGTGGGGCCCGTTTGGTGCGGTTTGTGGGGTGGGAGGCCCAGCTCGACCCGCACCCCAAGGCCTCCTGCGTCGTGGGGCCGCCGGGAAACCGCCCCCGGCCCAGGGCGTCAGGGCGATCCCGAGGTCCCCGGCGGCGCCCCGATGCGCTGGGCGCGGAGCCTGGTCCTCAGGGCGCCGGAGCAGCAGTTACACCCGAGAAGACCGCCCGACGCGGACCGGGGAGGCCGAGGGAGTCGGGTGGGGCGGGGAAAGAGCGCGCTTTCCCTCCCTCGGGGTGTGCGAGGCAGCGAAACGGGCGCAGCGGGCTCCCCGCCGCCGCGGCTCGGCCGCCCGCCTGGTGCGAGAACAAACATGGCTCCTGGGCAGTTTCGGCAACAAAGGCTGGGCGGGCACTGAGGCCGCCTTCCCCGAGGGAGCCTCCTTGGGGTTCTGAGGAAAACCCCGGTAGTGCTTAAAACTCAGAGATGGCTGGTTAGGAAAAATAGGAGCAGCGACTTGGGTCGGAGCCGATGCTGGGAGGCCATTTTGAAATGGCCTCGTGTATCAGGCCCCGGGACCCCGAGGGGCAGGTCCGCCGCGACGGCTCGCAGCCTGTCCCGGGCGCGGTGTGCCTTCGTGGGTGGCAGAACCGGAGTTGGGCCCGAGCTGGCTTCGAGGTCCCCGGTTCCCTGCCAGGTCCTTCCACACGTCGCGGGGAGACCTACCCAAGACCCCTCTCAGGATGCTCCCAGAGGTGGAACTGGGAGATGACTTCCAAACCTTAAAAAAAAAAGGGGGGAGGATTCTATTAAAATATTAAAACAAGTTGCCGATGGAATTATGGCACTTTCTTGGGTCTTTGTTCATTTCAAAATGAACATATATTATTTCAGGAAAAATTTAGTGGGGGTAGAGCTACAATACAGTAAGCAGAAAGATGCTGGGAGAGATGGGTGCTTTACCCAGCCTGGGGTAGGAGGTCAGGGGAGGCTTTCCTAAGAAAGTGAGGCTTGGGCTAAGTTTGAAGAAAAAGTTAAAGGAAAGGTGAAGTAGAGGAGGGAGATGGGGAAGGGAATTCCAGGCAGAACAGCATAGGCAAAGGTTTAAATGTGTGAAACTGCATGGTCTGTCCTAGGTACCTAAGAAAAGTATGCGGGCTTGGAAAATAAGGTCATGTTGGAGAATGCTGGAAGGGCAGTATAGGGGCCAGGGCCAGCTCGGGAAGGGTTGTTAATTTTTGTCCTGGAGGACATGGTGACGCTCTGGGATTTCAGCCGGGGAGCTATCACGTTGGTCTTGTTTTCAGAAACCTTACACTTGAATCGACAGAAAAACCCTTAGGAAGAGCGTACAGCAAGGTCATCAGTTGCAAAGCTTTTCTATATAACAATAACCGCCAATTAGAAAATGTAATGAAAGGAAAATCATTTACGTTGGCAACAAAAGCTTAAAGTACCTAGGAATAACGTTAACGAGAAATGTGTGAAGAAAACTATAAATTTACTGCTGGACAGGTAAGAAAACTTGCATCAATGAAGAGACCATGTTTCTAGATAGCCAGCCTCAGTTTTGTAAAGATGTCAGTTCTAAAATCTATAAATTCAATGCAATTTCTATAAAACTTAGTGGTTTTGGGGAACTTGGCAAAATGATGCCAAAGTTCATTTGGAAGAGTGTGTTGAATAAATGATAAGTATTGGGGGGAGTGGGATTATGAGGGTAGATTTGCCCTCTCTGATAGATATTTGAAAGTACTATAAAGTGCTATGAGCAGTTGGTACTGGCACAGGAAGAGATGACTACCTCAGTGCAACGCAACAGCACTACCCTCATTGAATGGGAACTTGGTAGATGCTAAAGTGGCATTTCAAATTAGGGGAGAAAGAATGGGCTCAACAAACTGTGTTGAAACAATTGATAGTCATGCGGAAGAAAATGACTCACTGCATTTCAAAACACGTTCCAGCTAGATTAAAGTTTCAAGCCTTAAAAAAGCCTATGGCCCGGCCAGTGTGGCTCAGCAGTTGAGCATCTACCTAGGATCCAGGAGATTGTGATTCGATTCCTGGTCAGGGCACAGGCCTGGGTTTCAGACTCGATCCCCAGCAGGGGGAGTGCAGA